GGCGGGGAGGGGCGCAGCAGCAGACCAGGGAGACGCGGAGCAACTTTTCTCGCCACGGAGGACGCAGGTGGCGGGACCGCGGCGCGTCTGGGTGGTCCCGCCGCCCCCGTCCTCTGCAGCGAGAAAAGCCCCGTTCGTATGTAGGGATCCGACGTAAGTTTTAAAATTTTAAAATTATTTAAAATGTTTTCCCTCATCTTTATTACTCATTGGGAGAAAAACACACTACAGGCAGTCCCCAACTTACGTGGATCCGACTTACGTCAGATCCCTAGATACGAACGGGGTGAGGCAACTCCCGCACATGAACAGCAGACAAAAGCAGCCTCTCCGCCCCTCCTCCCCCTATACATGCTGGGCTCCCTGGGCAAACAAAGACTCCACCAAAACAAACAAAGTGCTGGCCTCATTGTGTTAGCAAAAAAAGGACCCTCCTCCTAGAACCCTGGGTGGTGTGTGGAAATAAAGCTATTAGCTCAAAGCATGGTGCAGAGCTGTTTGGTATTTGATGAGTTACTCCTTTAGTCCTTCTGTTCTGCAATGTGATTTGTCCTTTTCATATTTGTTCTTTTTTTTAATTGTATCCTTTGGTATATATGGTTGTGACTACTTTCTTCCACTATTTGATCTGAGGAAGTGGGTCTGGCCCACGAAAGCTCATCATCTAATAAACCATCTTGTTAGTCTTTAAAGTGCTACATTGTCCTGCATTTTGCTAAGGATTGATGGCCTTCTACCTTTCCTTGTTGGTGACAGTTATGAAACGGTGTTTTTTTGGAAAACTGGATTGTGTTACCCCAGATTTTAAGGATGTGTAGCTCTAAATGTGATCCTGCCAATTTCATCTGTATGATGTGCACTCGATCACTATGGATTAATCAAATATAACGCCAAGTAGGTAAGGATTAATTGAGAAGCAGATGCAAAGTCAAAAACTAGCCCAAACTAAACCTCCCTTTCTGCAGTTTCAGCCCATTGCTTCATGTCCTATTATTAGTGGCCAAGGAGAACAATTCTTCCACCACATACTCCCTTTTAGAGAAGTGAAAACTACTATCATGCCCCCTCTCAGTCTTCTCTTTTCTAAACTAAACAAGCCCGATTCTTTCAGCCTTTCCTCATAGCTCATGTTCTCTAGACCTTTAATCATTATTGTTGCTCTTCTCTGGACCTTCTCCAATTTCTCCACATCTGTCTTGAAATGTGGTGTCCAGAACTGGACACAATTCTCCAACTGAGGCCTAATCAGTGCGGAGTAGAGCTGAAGAATGACTTCTCATGTCTGCTGATAACACTCGTGTTAATGCATCTCATAATCATGTTTACTTTTTTTGCAACAGTGTCACACCATTGACTCATATTTAGCTTGTGGTCCACTGTGACCCCTAGATTCCTTTCTGCAGTACTCCTCCCTAGACAGTCGCTTCCCATTATGTATGTCTGTTTGTTGCATATTCTTCCCATGTCAATGGAACGGTGAACTCTGTGAATGAGCTCATATCGTACATACCCACATGCACTGCAAGACAGTCTGCCTATGGGTTTATACTCCTATAGGGGCTGTAAGCTGAGAAGTTGGGAAATTGGCTGGTGTCTGCTGTTTGTGGATGGGTGACTTTGGGAAGCCCTCTGTGACACAAGCATGGGGGAGGGAGTATAGCCTGAAGAAAAGACCCAGATGTAGCAGTTGTTGGATTCCTTTAACTTGAAGTTCTCCTCACAACAGAGCACACCTGTCTGCAATACCACACATCAGGCAAACATCAAGGCTGTTCCCTGGGAAAATGTGGGACACCATGCGAGACCATCTCCAGGTCATTTTGACCCTGGGATTGGAGAAGGAATCATTCAGTGACTGGAGAAGTCCCATTGCACCCAGTTCTGATGCAGGATCATTTCTGCATCGATTTCTGAAAGATCAGCTCAGCATTGAAATTGGATGCTGACCCAATGCCGAGAATAGATGAACCTTTAGAAGAGTGTGCACTGCTAGATATAGATCCACTTTAGGCCACACACAGGGGTCATGCCAAATGCCTTTCACACCATAAGGCTAGGAGAAGAAAGCCTTTTCTACACCTTTCTGCATACATCAATTCTGGATCATGTTTTTTGGCCTCCATTGGGTGGCAGTGACTTTTAAGAGCTGTTACAGCTGCTTGGGCGGTATGCTAGGGTATGCTGCTATGATGAACCGAAGATTAGTTTTGGTCCTGTATCTCGTGGCAATAATCCTTCACATGGTGCAGATGGCAGTACATTGTAGGAAATCCATTCTAATTGCCTTTGATAGTTAAGTCGCTGATTGGCTAATCATTTCTTCTCTCCCGCAGATGCATCTCAAGCTGTTGTTGCCCAGGGTCTATTTTCTGCTCTTCCTGCTGCTCACAAACTTGAGGGAATTTTCGCTTGGGGCTGGGCCACGTGAATATCCACAGAGACTCTACAGGAGAATTATAAAGGTTGCTGCTGAGCATGGAAAGGTTCAGATATGTGAGATTCACCCACTGGTTCTCAGGGCTCTGACTTCTTGTTGCTGTAAGGAGATTTCCTCTCTCTGCTGAGTAGATTTGTGGTGAGTTGTCTGTTTCTGCATTAATGTGAGCGGTGAGAGCTCAGTAAGGGCTCCCACGATTCACCAGGATGGTGACTTCAGTTGTTTGTTATGGTTAGAAACTGTGTTGAATGTGCCTGCTAAAACCGGAACTACCATGTATCAGAGATAGTGTAGATTAAAGTAGCTACCTTGCCTAGATCAAATTGTGTATCTTTTTTCGAGTTGCAGTCCAGTGCATTATTTTCATCTGTTTTGAACTTGCCACATATAATTGAATGTCCTCAAGATCTTGGAGAAACCATGCTTGATCTACTCTCCACCCGTCACAAATTCATAGAGTCAGGTCCTGTCCCTTCATTTTCATTGTCTTCGTAATGTCTCAATCACAGTCTTTCCAATCTCTCCCAATATGAAAGTTTCCCTGTGGCCCATTCTTATTTCACTTCCCTGAATCCCTCTACTTCTGCTATACACTGGCATGATTTTCCGGAAATGCTTTTAACGGAAAAGTTTTCTGTTAAAAGCATTTTCAGAAAAGCGCGTCTAGATTGGCAGGATGCTTTTCCGCAAAAGCACTTTTTGCGGAAAAGCGTCCGTGGCCAATCTAGACGCGCTTTTCCGCAAAAAAGCCCCGATTGCCATTCTCGTGATCGGGGCTTTTTTGCGGAAAACAGTACTGTGCTGTCTACCCTGTCCCTTTTGCGCAAAAGTCTTTCGGAAAAAGACTTTTGCCCGAACGGGAGCAGCATAGTATTTCCGGAAAATCACTGACGATCTTACATGAGATCGTCAGTGCTTTTCCGGAAATTCAAACGGCCAGTGCAGACAGCTGGCAAGTTTTTCCGGAAAAGTGGCTGATTTTTCAGAAAAACTTGCCAGTCTAGACACAGCCTGTGTGAGAAAGCTGCCTGGTACTACACAAAGGAGTAAAACATTGTCTGACTGATCTCATGGCATTATATTTTGTTTATGACTCCCCACCCAATTCCTCCTGGATCCCAATGTTTTCTTAGTTTGACCACACTTGCACTGTGAACAGGATTTCACAGAGCTGTACCCTGATGCCCAGGTCCTGCCCTGAGTTCATGCAGGCAAATTAGAACCTTAGAATCATAGAATCATAGAATACTAGGACAGGAAGGGACCTCGAGAGGTCATCGAGTCCAGTCCCTGTCCTCATGGCAGGACCCAGTACTGTCTAGACCATCCCTGATAGACAGTTATCTAACCTACTCTTAATTATCTCCAGAGATGGAGATTCCACAACCTCCCTGGGCAATTTATTCCAGTGTTTGCCTACCCTGACAGTTAGGAACTTTTTCCTAATGTCCAACCTAAACCTCTCTTGCTGCAGTTTAAGCCCATTGCTTCTTGTCCTATCCTCAGAGGCCAAGGAGATCAATTTTTCTCCCTCCTCCTTATGACACCCTTTTAGATACCTGAAAACAGCTACCATGTCCCTCCTCAGTCTTCTCTTTTCTAAACTAAACAAACCCAATTCCTTCAGCCTTCCCTCATAGGTCATGTTCTCTAGACCTTTAATCTTTCTTGTTGCTCTTCTCTGGACCCTCTCCAATTTCTCTACATCCTTCTTGAAATGCGGTGCCCTTGTGAGGTGTGTGAGGAGTTCAGACTTTTCCTTGCAATGAGCAGACATGCTGCAGTTATTAACATTGAAGTTGAACTGCTATTATGGACCAGTCTCCCTGGCTTGGTTAGCTCCCTCAGAGGACTTCTCTGGATTTCACAGTGACCTAAAGAGAATCATAGAATCATAGAATGCTAGAACTGGAAGGGACCTCGAGAGGTCATTGAGTCCAGTCCCCTGCCCTCATGGCAGGACCAATCACCATCTAGATCATCCCTGACAGGTGTCTGTCTAACCTGCTCTTAAATATCTCCAGAGATGGAGATTCCACAAGCTCCCTACGACAACTTCCCTAGGCAACTTATTCCAGGGTTTAACCAGCCTGATAGGTGGGAAGTTTTTTCTGAATGTCCAACCTAAACCTCCCTTGCTGCAGTTTAAGCCCATTGCTTCTTGTTCTATCCTCAGAGGCCAAGGAGAACAATTTTTCTTTCTCCTCCTTGTAACACTCTTTTAGATACTTGAAAACCACTATCATATCCCCCCTCAGTCTTCTCTTTTCCAAATGGAACAAGCCCAATTCTTTCAGTCTCCCCTCATAGGTCATGTTTTCTAAACCTTTAACAGTGTTACACTGTTGACTCATATTTAGATAGTGGTCCACTATGACCCCTAGATCCCTTTCTGCAGTACCTCTTCCTAGACAGTTGCTTCCATTTGTAAATGTTGACACCTTTCTAGATTCATAAGAGTTATAACGTATCTCCATTACAATGTTACTCCCGCACCCTATGATTCTCTCTTTTCACAGGCACCTTGAACATTTCTCAGCCAGACTAAGACATCAACCATCTCATGGTGGACTTCAATGTCACCCCCTCAAACCCTTCAACATTCATACTTACAGGCATCCCTGGCCTGGAAGATGCCCACGTCTGGATTTCCATCCCAATATCTATATTCTACATTATCACCCTGTTGGGAAATTTCACAGTTCTCTTTGTTGTAGGCAAAGAGCAGACTCTGCACAAGCCGATGTTCCTGCTGCTCTGCATGCTGGCGCTCACCGATATTGGCGTGTCTACCTCCATCGTACCAAAAGCCCTGTGTATTTTTTGGTTCAAATTAAAAGACATTTCTGTGGATGGCTGCCTCACCCAGATGTTCTTCTTTCATGTGGTTTCCATTATGCACTCAGCCATCCTTGTGACAATGGCCTTTGATCGCTACGTGGCCATATGTAATCCTCTCAGATACACCACCATCCTCAGCAATGCACGAATAGCTAAGCTAGGGCTGGTGGGTTTGGTAAGAGCTGTTCTCTTCATTCTGCCCCTGCCCTTTCTCCTAAGAAGGCTTCCATTCTGTGCCAGCCGCATAATCCCCCACACGTACTGTGACCACATGGCTGTGGCAAAGATGTTGTGTGGGGATATCACAGTGAATAAGATATATGGATTGTTAATGGCATTTGCAGTCATGGGTTTCGACCTGACACTCATTGCTCTGTCCTATGGTCTGATCCTCAGGGCCGTCCTCAGAATCTCTTCCAAAAAGGCCCACCAGAAAGCCCTCAACACTTGCACAGCCCACATATGTGTGATCATGATGGCTTATCCCATTATGACACACCGGTTTGGTCAAGGTATCGCTCCTCATGTTCACATCATTTTGGCCAGCCTCTATTTCCTCCTCCCTCCCATGCTCAACCCTATCGTGTATGGGGTCAAAAACAAAGAGCTTCGTGACAAAGTGGGCAAATACATCTTCAGAATGGGATCGACTATTGCCACTGAGTTTAAATGTGCCTGAAAAGTAAGTTTTTTTCAGAGCTGTTCCACTTTACCCTGAATATGATGGGTAAGTACCTAAGAATGGGGTTGAGTTAATTCCAAACATGATTTACATACCTCCACTATGAAGTACTAAAAATATTCTTACATAATTAACAGGTGAAAATATAACTGGCCCTTTTACTGATTAGAATTGGAAGAGTGTACAGAAGAAACATTAAGTGATAACGAAAGATGTGAGGGGATGTAAATGTTAAGTGTAGCTATCTTCAATAGTAAAATTTTATGAGATGTATGTGTGTGATGTATGTGTTTTGAAGATGTTATAATACAATGTACTTTGGAGTAACCCTCTGAAGTCATCTTGAGAGACATTTTTTTTTCTTGGCACCCATTTCTCCCCAGCAGGTGAACAACTAGCCACCGTGAGGCTCTTGCAATACCATTACAGATGTTAGGAAAATATCTGGGATTTCCTAAGACCATTCCTTATGTCCGTGTGTGATTAAATCTAATAAAGTGCAGTGTTAGATGAGAACATGCTGACTTGCATTTAATCTCTGATTTATTCCTGACACCGCCTGAAGTGAAATTGTTAAGCTGCTCTGTCAGGGAGTATCAAAAAGCCACCCGGTTTAGAGACTTCTACGTTTAACTTTAACATCGCCTTGGAGTCAAGTAACTTACTGCTTTGTGGAACTGATTTTGGCTTTGCTTTCATCTGGAACATTCCAAATCCACATCAACCTTTCTGGTTTTCAAAGACATCAAAAATAGGTGTTGAGATTCCATCGTGGAGTTTGTGAAACAGATGAGATGTGATCACCCTATCTAAAAAAAAAGACACATTGGCATTGGAAAAGGTTCAGAAAAGGGCAACAAAAATGATTAGGGGTTTGGAACAGGTGTTATTTGAAAAGAGACTAAAAGACTGGGACTTTTCATTTTGGAAAAGAGGAGACTAAGAGGTGATATGATAGAGGTCTGTAAAATCATGACAGGTGTGGAGAAAGTGAATAAGGAACATAAATGAAAGTGATAGGTAGCAGGTTTAAAACAAACAAAAGGAAGTTTTTCTTTACACTGTGCAGTTAACCTGTGGAACTACATGCCAGAGGACATTGTGAGGACCAGGACTTTAACAGGGTTCAAAAAAGAACTAGCTTGATTCATGGAGGTTAGGTCTATCAATGGCTATTAGCCAGGATGGGTAGGAATAGTGTCCCTAGCCTCTGTTTGTCAGAGGCTGTGAATGGATGACAGGAGAGGGATCACTTGATGACTACCTGTTCTGTTCACTCCCTCTGGGGCATCTGTCATTGGACACTATTGGAAGACAGGACACTAGGCTAGATGGACCTTTGTTCTGATGCAGTCTGGCTGTTCGTATGTTCCTATGAAACAGAGACTGACACCAAATGTCCAGGTGATGGGATCACTTGCAATAGTAACTGGAGTAAGGAGAAACCCTGAGATATAAGCCATGGTATCAAAGGTCTGCTATGATGCTGAAGCTGGTCACAGAGTCATACAAGAAGAGGGCCAATATTGCAGAACCATTTAATCCTAAGGAGCGCTACTCACAGAGCACTCATGCAGACACATTCCAATAATTGGTGGTACCTAAACATCCCCATGTCAACGAGTCTACTAAAATATTCCACCAGGGTAACAGGAGCACACTGGAGTCTCCTAAAGAGTGAGATCGGGACGACTCTGATCCAACCAACATGTAGAAGGTGATGTCATCAGGCAAGACTAACTTGCTTATATCACAGCATACAAATGCGTCTCAGAGGGTGTATCTTTCTTCAGCCAAGGAAAGGGATGGAATGCCCTTCCATTCACTGAGCTGTGTCCATTCTCATGGGCATATATTGCAGTGGGTCAGGAAAGCAATGTCGTAAATTCAAGATTCCTGCTCTGTCAGTGAAAATTAAAGGTCAGCTGTGTGTGTTTTTGTAGGCTCCCTCAGTATATCGTGCTAGCTCTGTGCAGGTAGCCAGCATAATAGACTTCATGAGAGCCCCCTAAGACCACAGACTCAGATAAGTTACGAAGGTACCCGAGTCATGTTTATTGTCGAACAAAGTACAATAATAGTCTTTGGTAACCAGATGGCCCCCCCGAGCTCCTACGTGTTTGTACCCATGACAATGGACTCAGCTCAGTCAATAGTATGGATTTGGCCTCTGTTTGTCAGAGGCTGGAGAGGGATGGCAGGAGACAAATCGCTCGATCATTGTCTTCGGTCCCCCCTCTCTAGGGCACCTAGTGCTGGCCACTGTCGGCAGAAAGGATACTGGGCTAGATGGATCTTTGGTCTGACCTAGTACGGCTGTTCTTATGTTCTTATGTCCTTATGTTCTTATTTCACTATTGTCCTCTAGGCCAGCCAAAGAGTTAAGTTGAGGTACCCCAACATTTATTGACAGAGATAAAAAATCTGTGATACGCACCATACGTATCATCTTACATATTGATGACATATTTGGTACGTCCCCTTGTACTTTCCTCCAGAGCATGCCTATTCCCCACCCAGTGTTATGCTTTCACTCCTGTTGTTTCAAACTATTTTATCATGTACTGAGTTGGGGTGTCCTTGTACTGTCCTGGTGGAATCTATCTATCCATTTCATGCACTTTTAACAGTGCAAGCAGTTCTAGCACCAAGAGACACTGTCTTGCAGGCAAACATTTGCTTTTGACATAGCCTGTCTAATACTCATAGTATAACTCTTGCTGACTTTGGTTCAAACACCACGCCCATGCTTCAGGATCTTTCTTTCTCCTACATATATTGTGATAGACCCCCCGGCTGTGTCTACATTGGCACCCCTTTCTGGAAAAGGGATGCTAATGAGACACTTTGGAATTGCAAATTCCGCGGGGGATTTAAATATCCCCTGCGGAATTTGCATGAACATGGCTGCCACTTTTTTCTGGCTCGGGGTTTTGCCGGAGAAAAGCGCCAGTCTAGACGGGATCTTGTGGAAAATAAGCCCTTTTCCGGAAGATCCCTTATTCCTACTTTCAAGTGCGGTGTCCAGATCACAGTGGAGGGTCCTGAAAAGAGGTGAAGTTGGGATAGGACGTCCTGCCTAATGTACACACCAAAAAGGCCTAACGAGGATTCCTGGGACAGGGGCTTGTCTCAGACTGTAAAATACTGTGGACATCACGGCAGCAGATTAGCTTTGATACCTCCTCCCATCCCCATCCAAACTATCCCTTCTACTTTGAGCAAGCCTACTGCCAAATTAGCACAACACAGACAGTCTCTGCTTCCCCTCTCCTTCCTACAGGCCCCGTCCCTTTCTCCTTTCCTGCACAGGCTGAGCTGCTATTGGGGTTCCCTTCGCCCCCAGACAGGCAGTTCAGGCTGATTTCCCCTGATAACCTCAGTTTAGTCAGACGTTGGTCAGAGGACAAAGGTGGAATTTTGGGCGGGTAGGAAGGGCATCAGCTGTGCGCTCTGCGTCGGGACTTGCATTTCATCCTGTTTCCCTTTCACCAGCCAGGTATGAGAGGCGGGCACAGAATCCAAGTACTTTCCCCTCATTCTCTTAGCATCTGGGGAACGGGATGAAAAGCCAGCCACATCCCAGAGCACACAGCTGCTGCCCTCCCCCCCACCTGCCCAAAATTCCACCCTTGTCTGAGGAGATATTTCTGTGAGCTGTTGCTGTGGGATCTAGCACCTGGTTGTGGTCCTGGTTGAGGGCTATCACTCAGTGGCAGCGTTAGAAATTGTGGGGTGGGGGACCTTTCTGGAGAAGTGGGGCAGGTACACGGGCATGTGGACGGTGCTAAGGGCTGTTGAGACAGACAGTGGAAGTACAGGGACAGGGGAGAAGTGCCAGGGATTGTGGGTGAAACAAGCACCATGTAGACAGACAGGTGCTTTTGACAATCACATTTTCTTTGGGATTTTTGCACCCAGGCTGGAGCTGAGCCTTTCCCTGGCCCAGGCTGTGTCTAGACCGGCAAGTTTTTCCACAAAATCATCTGCTTTTGCGGAAAAACTTGCCAGCTGTCTACACTGGCTGCTAGAATTTCCACAAAAGCACTGATGATCTCATGTAAGATTGTCAGTGCTTTTCCGGAAATACTGTGCTGCTCCCGTTTGGGCAAAAGTCTTTTTCCGAAAGACTTTTGCGCAAAAGGGCCAATGTAGACAGCACAGTACTGTTTTCCACAAAAAAGTCCCGATCGCGAGAATGGTGATCGGGTCTTTTTTGCGGAAAACCGCGTCTACATTGGCCATGGACGCTTTTCCACAAAAAGTGCTTTGCGGAAAAGCATCCTGCCAATCTAGACGTGCTTTTCCGAAAATGCTTTTAACGGAAAAGTTTTCCTTTAAAAGCATTTTCGGAAAATCATGCCAGTGTAGTCGTAGCCCCAGAGTGTTCCTGGACAGTGATCAGGATCTTTTTGCCCTCGCAAGCCACAGAACCGCAGCCTGGGTATCACAATCTTTTCTCCATTGTTTGTGTCCAGTCATTGGTGTTAACTGTTAATTGAGTAACTTTCAGGCATGTCCCTAGTTGGGGAAAAAAAAAACCCTTGATTTTTGTACCTCAGATGGTTCCTTCTCCGAGCACACTCTGACCCCACTCTACTGTAACATCTCTGGCTGCTCCAGTTCCAACAACACGCTGGTTTTCAGCGCCTTCTCCATGCTCTAAAGTCATGCCTGGCTCCCAGAACGCTCCCTACAACTCCTCCCCTGCAACGGGTGAGCTGCCTCCCGCACACCTGCTCCTGTGGCAGAGGGGTGATCCGTGATTGTGTCTCACCAGTGACAAATCTCACACATGGAGTGGCGAATGCCAGGGAGGAGCCTTTCTGGGACAGGTGAGGGCCGACATAAACACAGCTACCATGTGGAGGACCCCCTGACTGCTGACTCCCCACAGCTCTTCCATTGCAGCAGGTGAGATAGCTCCCATCATATCTGCAAGCTTAGCTGGGGAAGACCAGGGACCGTATCTCACTGGTAACAAATCTCATGGGCAAATTCCATGGCAAGCAGCTGGTCTGCTGCTCTTGTTACCCACATACACTCCGTGCGGTGATTCAAGGACAGCTATACGGGAATAACTCACAATTTGAGATGTTTGCCCATTATGTAAGGAGAGAAGGCAATTCTGGGGCATGTGAGGGCTGAGATAAGAGCAGCTGTGACGTGTCTGAGTTACAGGAAAGGAGATAGGATTCCCCCTTGGGAAAAGACATTATCATGCTGAGCTCAAAAGACTATGCTCAAAAGAATGGGCAGGAAGGGTCAGAGATCTTTGGTATTTAGGGCTACAGGCCAGTGCCTTTAGCATTTCCTTTATTTATTTATTTTCCTTTGTATCTTTGCTTTTGGAGACCCACTTTCTTGCAAATTCCCAGCTTTTCCTCAGGTTGCAGTTGGTAACTTAGAAGTGCGAAGACAGACGTGTCGGCCGCTAAGCTGCTCAACCTTCTCATGCCTGAATATTGCTGAAGTTTTCTGAGGACCCAAAAATTGGTGTATCATAAATAATAAAGAGGAGTTCAACCTGTGGAACTCCTTGCCAGAGGATGTACTGAAGACTAGGACTTGAACAGGGTTCGAAAAAGAGCTAGGTAGATTCATGGAGGTTCGGTCCATCGATGGCTATGAGCCAGGATGGGTAGGAATGGTGTCCCTAGCCTCTGTTTGTCTGGAAATGAGTGACAGAGGAGGGAATCACATGAGGATTACCTATTTTGTTCCCTCCCTCTGGGGCATCTGGCATTGGCCACTGTCAGCAGACAGGATACTGGGCTAGATGGACCTTTAGTCTGACCCAGTATGACCATTCTTATGTTCTTATTACTGGCCATTGACTCAGAGAAATCCGGATTGGCTGGCAATCTGTGTCAAATAAAACAATGTGTGTTCTAATATAGCTGTGTAGATATGTACCTCGGGGAACAAAGAATGTAGGTAAGGCTCAAAGGTTGGGGGACTATCACAGGAAGCACAATGAGACTGAAAAAGATTTGGGGGCCTGCTGGGATAATTTGCTCCAGAATACTCAAGTCTATTCTGGTAGTCTTAGAGTCATGGTGGAGCCAGGTGACAGGATTTGTGGGGTTGGGAGATGATGGGTAACCATGAAAGAGATCAGGTGATGGCCAGAGAGAAAGAAGTCAACAACAGAAGGCAGTGCTTAGTAATGGAGTGATAGGACTTTAAGGGTGTGTCTAGACTACAGGGTTTTGTCGACAAAAGTGGACTTTTGTCGACAAAACTATACCTGGATCTATACTGCCACCGAGTTCTGTCGACATAATGTCAACAGAACTCGGCAGTTTTGTCAATGGTGGTAAACCTCATTCTATGAGGAATAACGCCTTTTGTTGACAGAGTTCTGTCGACAGAAGGCGTTATTGCATCTACACTGTCCTTTGCGTCTACACTCTCATGTTGACAAAGCGGCTTGTTTTGTCGACAGAACTGGATGTGGTCTAGACACTCTTTGTCAACGGAAGCTTTGTTGACCGTATCTGTCGACAATGCCTCTGTCAACAAAAGCTTGTAGTCTAGATGTACCCTTTCTGTCAACAAAGCTTCTATCGACAAAAGCCGGTAGTCTAGATGTACCTCAGGGGCATGTCTACACTAGAAAATTATTTTGAAATAACTTATTTCAAAATAATAAGTTCTGTAATAAGTATTTTGAAACAGCATGTCCACATATCAGGGAAACCTTTAAATTAGTCTGAGGCAGGCTCCCTGAATGTAGTCACACTATCACCACTTAGGGTATGTCTACTCCGCATGCTTATTTAGAAAACTAATATTCCAAAATAGCTTGTTTTGAAATAACACGTCTACACTACAGGGAAACCACAAAATTAGTCCAAGGCAGGCTTCTCTAATGTGGATGCGTTACCTCAATTTAGAGCCTCAGCAGTCATTGGGGAATTATTACTTGGGAACTCCTTTTGAAGGTGGATCTCCATGGAGGAGAATTGACATGGAACGATAAAATACGGACTCCAGGTAGTTCTTTCTGGTCAGAGCTCAGCCTAGGTGTTTCCATGCCCCGATCCTGGATGGTTCTGTGTCCCCTCGGAACATGTAGAAAAAAAAGCAGCAACGCTACTGCAGAGAAAGCCAATTGTTATTTCAGAATAATGGCCATTACGCTGTTTTAACTATGTGAAAATCTACACAGCAATTCCATTTTTTCCAAATAATTTTGAAATAACAGATGTCTTATTCCGAAAACTGTACACCTCATTCTTCAAAGAATAACACGAATTCTGAAATAGCTATTTCAAAATAAGATGCATGTAGATGCTGAGTTCTAAATTATTCTAACAGAACTCTGTTGACAGAAGGTGTTATGCCTCGTAAAATGAGGTTTACCAGCGTCGACAAAACTGCTGAGTTCTGTCAACGTTATGTCGACAGAACTCAGCAGTAGTGTAGACGCTGGTATAGTTTTGTCGACAAAAGTTCACTTTTGTCGACAAAACTCAGTAGTCTAGACACACCCTTAGAGTCCCAGAAATCACTGAGGAGTATTTACTCTGGGGAGTAGTGATTCTGAAAGAACAGCAGTGGAGCATCCACACTATCGCTATTTCGAAATAACTTATTTTTAAAAAAGCATTATTCCTTGTGGAAAGCAGCAGTTAAGATTTTGAAATAACCAGCCCATTATTTTGAAATAATGGGCTTGGTAGGATGGATACTCTGCTTGCTAGTTCGAAATAAGGGGAGTTAGTGTAGACCAGGGCTAGGCATGAGGAACGTCTCAGACTGTGAATTTTGACCTTTTTGAACTCAGCCAAACTGGGACAGAGCAACCTTGATTAAAGAGGCACTGTCCTTTCTCCCTCTTGTCATGAACGTTTAAAGTCGGTGGCCCCAGGCGATCACATTATGCAGGTGTATTTTCCCATTTTGTCACGAAGCTCTTTGGTTTTGACCCCATAAATGATCGGGTTGAGCATGGGAGGGAGGAGGAGATAGAGGTTGCCTAAGATGATGTGAACATAAGGTGCAATGCCCTGACCGAACCGGTGTGTTAGGTTGGAAAAGAGGCTGGGGGTGTAATACATCAGCATCACACAGAGGTGGGCTGTGCAAGTATTGAGGGTTTTTTGGTGGGCTTCCTTGGAGGAGATTCTGAAGATGGCCCTGATGATGAAACCGTACGACAGGGCAATAAGTGTTAGGTCCAACCCATTGACTATAAAGAATAGCACTAAACCGTATGTCCTATTTACTGAAATATCCCCACACGACATCTTTGCCACAGCTGTGTGCTCACATTGCATATGGGGGATGAGGCGGTTGGCACAGAACGGCAGCCTGCTCAGGAGCAGGGGCAGGGGCAAAATGAAGAGAACAGCTCTTGCTAAACCTACCACCCCTAGCTTAGCGATTTGTGAGTTGCTGAGGATGGTGGTGTATCTCAGAGGGTTACATATGGCAACGTAGCGATCAAAGGCCATTGTCACGAGTATGGCTGAGTGCATGAGAGAAACCATGTGAAGGAAGAACATCTGGGTGAGGCATCCAGACAGAGTAATGTCTTTCAAACTGAACCAAAATATACACAGGGCTTTCGGCACAACAAAGGTAGGCGTGGCGATGTCTGTGAGCGCCAGCATACAGAGCAGCAGGTACATCGGCTTGTGCAGGGTCTGCTCTTTGCCTACAATCAACAGAATCATGAAATTCCCCAACAGACCAATAAGGTAGAACACTGAGAAAGGGATGGCAATCCAGATGTGGGCAGCCTCCAGGCCAGGGAGGCCCACGAGGATGAATGTTGAAGGACCAGCATGAGTCACGTTGAAAGCTGCCATGAGGGGGTAGATGAGTTGCTTGGGGTCAGAACTGCTCAGGGTGTCTGTGAAGAGAGAGAAGCACATGGGGGGTGATCATCTGCTTTATAACAAATGGTAAAATACATATTTTATTAGTGTGGGTCAACTAAAAAGGAGGCTGAGCAGGGAGGTGGCAACGTTTGCAGATGTTACCAGATGACTGGGGTACCTCAGAGGGAGCTGAGTAAGCCAGGTGAATGGGCAGCAGAATGGAAGATGAACTTAGCTTTCAACAAGTGCAATGTATATGTGCATTTGGGAGAAAAAAAGTTATAACTACTCCAACACTTAACAAAGCTCCAATTTATTTATCTAGTCCCTCAAATGTCCCAGAGTTGCCTGTAGGAGAAAGAAAGAGCCTTAGGCATGGGCCTGGTGCTTGAATCTCTTGGTGCTAGAACTGCTAGTACTGTTAAAAAGCACATGAAATACGTAATTAAATTCCACCAGGACAGTACAAGGACAACCATCTGAGTCCATGATAAAATAGTGGAAAACAACAAGAGTGAAAGCACAACAACGGGCAGTGAATGCTTTGGAGGAAAGTATAAACATTCAAATGTACCACCTTACACAATGCATCTTGTACTAAAGTGTCTGAATTATGCTACAGATTGAATCTCTCTAGTCTGGCACTCTCTGGTCCAGCAACATCCCTGGTCTAGCAAGATTTTAGTTAGCTGGATGTCCACTTATCATAGAATAGTATTAGAAATGTAGCCGTGTTATTTTGGTGTAGCTGAAGCAAAATACAGGACTATGTAGCACTTTAAAGTGCAGATTTAAAAGGTCTTTGAAGCAGGATGCATATAATTAAGTCATTGAGACAATGTCCTTTCTGGTTGAAATGGCAAGAAACTGTTTTTTCTTTGTGATCCTGTCTAATATCTGTAATATCTGTTTTGTGGGCATTGATCCTTTTGCGAAGTATCTGAGATGTTTGTCCAATGTACATAGCAGATGGACACTTTCGGCACATGATAGCATAAATTATATTTCTGGATGCGCAGGAATATGTGTACTTGATCTTATAACTTCAAAGATCTTCAAAGACCTTTTAAATCTGCACTTGAAAGGGAATCCTCTGAACTGTCATTCATGCTAAAATTCGACACTTTACGCCTGGGTCTCAACAAACACTCTAGTTATCTTACCCATTACAAAGATAGCTTCCCCAATTATCACCTCTAATATCATTAGCTCACAGACATTTACCTCCCCCTGATGTTCTGAAATTTGATTTGTCCTTTTCATATGTGTTCACTTTTTTAAAAATTGTATCCTTTGGTATATATGGTTGTGACTATTTTCTTCCACTATTTGATCTAAGGAAGTGGGTCTGGCCCATGAAAGCTCATCATCTAATAAACCATCTTGTTAGTCTCTAAAGTGCTACATAGTCCTGTATTTTGCTTCACTTATCATAGGTGTGGCTAAGTTTCCTGCAGTCCCATAAATTTTGTTTACAGCCACCAGTCCTGGCTCTCAGTGATCTGTGCTGTTATTTAGCTCTGTTTTGCCCCTAAACGTCTTCTAAGAGCCCAGTAAGCAGTGGAAGTGTTGATAATGTTGATAAACAACGTTGACCTCCTGTAGTCTGGAAAATTTTCTGGTTCAGCACTGGTCAGGTCCCGAGGGTGCTGGACTAGAGAGGTTCAGCCTGTATAACCATATACTCATATCATAATAACACCACTGTGAAGAATATGGGGTGTAGTGTCGCACACTGATCAATGGCTGTTTCTTCTGTTGTAATGCCTGAAGCTACATAAAAGGTGCAAGAACAATTATTGCAAACACATTGACATTGATTGTGACATCCAAGCCGAGGGTGCTGGACTAGGGAGGTTCAGCCTGTATAACCATATACTCATATCATAATAACACCACTGTGAAGAATATGGGGTGTAGTGTCACACACTGATCAATGGCTGCTTCTTCTGTTGTAATGCCTGAAGTTACATAAAAGGTGCAAGAACAATGATTGCAAACACATTGATGTTGACTGTGACATCCATGCAGTTGCATGGCTTGCCAGGGCAAAGAGACCAGGAAACTCCCCAGATGCTTTCAGCACCAGGAAAGGTCCCAGCACTGGCATTGGAGCAACAATCAACAAGATAAAAAAAAAGTTCAGCAGTTCCTCTTTCCCATCCATGTTCATGCCCCCAGTGATACCCACCTCTCCTTGTACACTCCCTGATTTTCACACTGACAACCTGCCCGTGGACATCCTGCTTCCTGCCCCACATCCTCCCAGTGCTGGCCACTAGTCCCCCCTGAGCCTCCAGCTCTGCCACACATTGATACGCCTCACCCAGGACCAACACCAGGCACCATTCCCCAGAGTGAATTCACAGACATATAGGCTACGTCTACACCAGCATGATTTTGCACAAGAACTCCTTTGCGGAAAAGTTCTTGTGCAAAAACTGTTCCAGAAGAGAGCGTCTACACTGGCATGTGCCTTTGTGTAAGAGCTGTGCTTTTGCGCAAGAGCATCCGTGCCAGTGTAGATGCTCTCTTGCGCAAGAAAGCTCTGATGGTCATTTTAACCACAGGGCTTTCTTGTGCAAGAAATTCATGTTGCCTGTCTACACTGGCCTCTTGCGCAAGAACAGTTGCACAAGAGGGCTTATTCCTGAGCGGGAGCATCAGAGTTCTTGCGCGAGAAGCACTGATTTCATACATTAGAATGTCAGTGTTATTGCGCAAGAACTCGTGGCCAGTATAGACAGGCAGCAAGTTTTGGTGTAAAAGCAAATAGAATGTCAGTGTTATTGCGCAAGAACTCGTGGCCAGTATAGACAGGCAGCAAGTTTTGGTGTAAAAGCGAACGCTTTTGTGCAAGATCGTGTCAATGTAGACACAGCCATAGAATCATAGACTCATAGGGCTGAAAGAGACCTCAGGAGGTCATCGAGTCCAATGCAGGACCCACCTCAACTAAACCATCTCAGCCAGGATTTTGTCAAGCTGGGACTTTAAAACCTGTACAGAGTTTTGTCAAGCTGGGATCTTAAAACCTCCCTAGGTAATCCATCCCAGCTATGTCTAGACTACAGGCTTCTTTCGGCAGAAGCTTTTCTGGAAGAGATCTTCCAAAAAAACTTCTTCCAAAAAATAGCGTCTGCACAGCAAAAATGCATCAAAAAAGCGATCTGCTTTTTAAAAAGATAACATCCCCACTGACTGGACACTATCTCGCATGTAAGCTGTGATTACTGTGGGCGGAGTGGCCACCATGGCACCTGTGCTTTTCCCTCTTTCCTCTTCTTTCAAAAGAACTCCCTCTTCCCCATTCACACACACCTCCTTCCGACGGAGCTCTTTCAGAAAAAGGCTTCTTCCTCGTAGAGAGAGGTTTACCAATGTCAGAAAAACACCTTTGTACTTTTGATTTTTTCCGAAAGAACGCAATTGCAGTGTGGATGTAAGTGACGTTTTTCGTAAAAACAGACTTTTTTCCAAAAAATCTCTATGTTGTAGACATACCCTCAATGCTTCCCCACCCTCCTAGGCTGTGTCTATACTGGCAAGTTATTCCGGAAAATCAGCCGCTTTTCTGGAAAACTTGCCAGCTGTCTACACTGACCTCTTGAATTTCCGGAAAAGCACTGACGATCTAATGTAAAATCATCAGTGCTGTTCCGGAAAAACTATGCTGCTCCCGTTTGGGCAAAAGTCTTTTTCCAGAAAACTGTTCCAGAAAAGGGCCAGTGTAGATAGCACAGTAGTGTTTTCCGCAAAAAAACCCCAAACGTGAGAATAATGATCGGGGCTTTTTTGCGGAAAAGCGCGTCTAGATTGGCCACAGACGCTTTTCCGGAAAAAGTGCTTTTCTGGAAAAGCATCCTGCCAATCTAGACGCGCTTTTCCGGAAATACTTTTAACGGAAAACCTTTTCCGTTAAAAGCATTTCCGGAAAATCATGCCAGTGTAGACATAGCCCTAGTGTAATAGTTTGTCCTAATATCCAAATTGCATATCTTATTTTGGTCTTATTTAGAAATAGCTTATTTCATACTTTGGTTGTCTATACCATGCCAAATTGCAAAATAACCCGCTGTTCCGAAATATCCCTTACTCCTCGTGGAATGAGGTTTACAAGGACATCAGAACAGCGAGCCCAAAGTAACAAGCTTGCTGTTAAGACACAGGATCACTATTTCAGGATACTCTAGTATCCCAAAATAATATTGTAATGTAAATGTAGCCAGAGAGGCCTGTCTCAGTTGACAGGGACCCAGTCAAGGCAAAATGTGGGCGTAGAATCAGGCCACTGTGGCCAATTCTTCTTGTGAACTCTCTGGTAACACAGCCACACTGAAGGGGCTTTGGTTGCACTTCCTAATAAGGCAGCAAAGATGCTGACCTGGAAAACTTGAATAAATCAGAAAACAAACAAACCAACCCTCCTCCCCCAGTCCTTTCCCTTCCCCCCTCTCGCTCCCCGAATGGACACAGAAGAACATAGTAAATGACACGTAACTGATCTTAAAAACAAATATATTTGTCTAAATGATTTCTAATACATTTGTTGTTCTAGCTCATGGAATCAGAAAATCCTAGGGCTAGAAGACACCTCAGGAGGTCATCGAGTCCAGCCCCCTGTCCAAAGCAGGACCAATCTCCAACGAAATCAACCCAGACAGAGCTGTGTCAAGCCAAAAGTTAAAAACCTCTAGGGATGGAGATACTACCACCTCCCGAAGTAACCCATCCCAGTGCTTCCCCACCCTCCTAGGGAAATAGATTGTCCTAAAATCCAACCTAGACTTCCCCCAACCATTCAACAAGGCAAATATCCTGATGTTTCCAACAAAACTAAACAATGCAAGTCACTGTGCTGATGAATTCCTGCCCAGATGGTTCTTGACTTAAGAACATAAGAACGGCCGCACTAGGTCAGACCAAAGGTCCATCTAGCCCAGACAGTGGCCAATCCCACTTGAACAGTGGGTGGAGGGGCAGGTTTCTGTGTGGTCTAGTGGATAGGGCTGCTACTTGGGGAGGACAGGGTCATGGGTCTGGGTCCACTGGGG